ACCGCAGGCGCCGGCCCGCGGGGTGGGCGGGGTCTCAGGGCCCGGCAGGGCAGGCCCCGCCCCCTCAGCTTCTTGGCTCTGGGGACCCTGCCCCACCCCAAGTGCCCCAGGACAGGGACAGGGTAGGGAGAAAACGCCCCTGGCTGCCTCCGACTCCGACTCCCCGCCCAGCTGACAGGTGGGCCAACTGGGGGGGCCTGGGAGGAGGGGCCAGGGGCTCCTGGGGGCAGGAGGCACAGGGCCTGGGCCAGGCTGCAGAGGGTCCCAGGTACCCTTCACACACACCTGCCTCACCTGGGCCCCTTAGTTCCACTGAGTCAGCTGACTCATGCGGCTGTCCAAGCAGAGGCAGCCAGGGACAAGCAGGCCGGCCGGCCCACAGTCCCATGCCCTGCCAGGACAGCTGACCCCACCACCCTCCAGCCCCTGGGCTGACTCTTGGCAGCCTCCACCCCTCAAAGCTCAAAACCTGCAAGGCCCCCTGTTCCCAGAGCTCCGGCTGCCGTGGTCACCTCAGCTGACCCTTGTCGGGGACTGGCCCCTCGGGGCAGTGGCGTGGCCGCAGCTCCCAGCAGCTCCCGCTCTGTGGGTACACAGGCCGGGACAGGCCCTCAGGTGTGACCTGGCCAACTGCAGACCTCCCGCCCCACCCTGCACCTCAGCTGAGGGCAGGCAGCTGGTTGTGGCAGCTGGTTGTGACACCTGCACCCCATGGCAGGCCTGGGCAGGCTTGGGTGGGGACGGGGAGGCCTGCCCTTTCCAGGGCGAGTTGGGGGTCAGGGTCCACTCCAGGGGGTGGGGACTATGCCACAGAGGGAGTCCTGGCAGGCGTCCCCCATTCGAGAAGCTGGGAGTAGCCGGGGGGGGGCAGCACAAGGACCCCAGTGGGCTCAGGGTGAGGGGCTGGGGGACCTGCCCAGAACAAGGGATCAGAAGCCCTGGAGGACCACCAGTCCTGGGGTGGTCACCTGGCTCTGCTGCGCCCAGCCTGAGGAGGTGCTGGCAGGAGCAGGGCCGCTGCACCCCACTGCTGGAGAGCTTGGGGACCAGACAGCCACTCTGCTGAGTGCTGCCTCGTCACCCACCAGCTCCCGGGTACCCTGGCCCTTGGCCAGGTCCCCCCTTCTGGCAACGTGAGGGAAGAGCTCACAAGGCCACACCTGCAGCGGCCTGTGCTGCAGCTGGGCCCCCATCCTGGGCTCCGCCCTGCCCCCCAGGGCTCTGACAGGCGACCTGGACCCTCACTTTCTCCCATACGCTGCAGCCAGTGCCCCAGTCCATCTGCGGGGAGGGTGGGTGCATGGGCCCCGCCCATGGGGGGCACCACAGCCAAGGGGAGACTGCCACACTTGGGCCGGGGCGCCCTCGCTGGGGTGGAGTCCTGCAGGGGCGCCCAGACTCCGGGCAGCGGGGCTCAGGCAGGCACTGCCCGCCAGCCTGCTTCTGGCCCCTGCGCGCCTCCCTGTGCCCAGGCCAGGGCTGGGGACCGAGGGACACGGGCTGTGGAAGCTGGCCCCAGGGGTCCTGTGGGCACCTCTGTGGGGCGGGGCGGGGCGGTGCGATCTCAGGATATGCCTCAGTCAGAGCTGCGGTTGGTGCTTCCAGGGCAGGACTGCAGGGGGGCGCAGGACTGCAGGGGGGCACAGGACTGCAGGGGGGCGCAGGACTGCAGGGGGCGGCCTCGGGCCAGCCGGTCTGGAAGTGCAGACCCCGCGGGGGCCTGGGCATAGGGCGAGAGGGACAGCAGCCCTCAGCCTGACCCTGCTCCAGCGCCCCCCACCCGCGGGCCTGGCGCAGTGTGGGCCTCCGGGGAGGGCGGGGCCTCCCACCTTCTCCCCTCCTCCAACGGTGCTAGAGGGCCCTGGGCTTGCCCACCCCCGCGCGCTGCCCTCCTGGGCCAGCTCCATTTCCCATTTTAGAAAGTGTCTGATTATTAAATATTTATCCCTGCAGGGCGGGCTTTTGGCCCGGCTTCTGTGGCTTCCACAGAAAGAAAAACAGAGCCCCTGAGGGAACCGCGGTGGGCGCCACGGGTCTGCCCCTGCGTGGGAAGGTTGTCTTGGGGCGCAGCTGAGGCTGCCTGCCTCCCTCAGACCTCAGCCCCTCACCCCCACCCTGTCCTCGCCCCTGGGGCTCCCCTGAGCGCCTTAGGGCTCCCTCCCCATGCCCTTGGAACATGGCCCTCACAGGCCTCTGCCCCAGCTCCACCCCCACCCCCAGACTCCCCCAGGCACGGTGACACCCCATCTCACTGCCCCAGAAGCCCCTCATCCGCCATGGCTCCCAGGCGCCTGCTAAGTTCTGCCTAAGCTCTGTGGGGAGGGGTCAGCCCATGCTCCCTGCAGCTCCCTGAGTCCACCCTGTCCCTGTTGGGGGGACGTGGTGGCCCCTGCTCTGTGCGTGCAGATGTGCGTCCTCGGGGCCAGGACAGAGGGTGGCTGGGCCCCGCTGCCCTGACACTGCTGGGCCGAGAGGGCCACTCGGGCACCTGCAGAGGCAGAGCCTGCAGACCCATCCCCAGGGCGGCGGCCGGGCCCAGAGGGCTCCCAGGTCTGTCCACCCCACCAGGCGGCGCCCTCCGAGCCTGCCGTACCGGGCCGCCATGCTCATCCCGCCGGACCCAGGCTTCCCCAGGGCTCCATGTGGCCCCAGCTCGGCAGAGGGGGTCACCACCCCTGCCCCTGTTGGGAAAGGCCCTGTGGAGCCTGGACTCCACTGGGGAGCCCCCAACTCCTCGCTCCACTCTGGTATCTCCGTGGATCTGGGGGGCCTTGGAGTCCTTGCCAAGCCAAGGGCTCGCAGCTGCGGGTGGCCCACCACCGCCCCACGCGGGCCCTGCGGTCTGGGAGCACCTGCTTCCCTGCGGCTGCCCGAGGGCCATGCTGTCAGGCAAAACAGCTGGCCCAATGTGGGGGACATGCAGGGCGAGCCTCCTTCCCACGCTGGAACACAGGGCCCGACTGGGGTGCTGGGGCGGGGGGGAGGGAGGCTGGTGGCACGGGGCCTGTCCCCGGCACAGGCTCCTGCATGGTGGGCCGGTGCGCGTCCTCTCTGGCCTGGGCAGGAGCCCCTGGGGCTGCCAGCTGTGCTGAGACCCCCAGGCAGGGTGGGGCCTGCCCCCTTTGGGTGGCTTAGGAGGGACAAGGCTGGAGAGCCGGGTCTCAGCGCCCTGCCTGCCTGCCTGCAATGGCACTGTGGAGCCTGGGCCACAGCCCAGGGGCTCTCTGCAGTCTCCTGCGAAAGCCCAGGCCCCTGACCCTGTTCCTTGAGAGCAGCCCAGTGGCTGGGCGGGGTGTTGCAGGGGGGAGGGCGGGGGGGGGAGGTGGTGGGCATCGCACAGGCTTCCGGCAGGGGTGATGAGGCTGGGCCCTGCGCCTCTGGGTGGGCGGCCCCGAGCCAGCAAGGTGTCATGTGGGGAGCTGGAGGCAGAGTAAGGGGCCCCAAGCCCTGCAGGCCCCTGCAGCATAGTGGATGGGAGATGGCCAGCCGCAGGGAGGGGGGGGCCAGCCCTGTGGCCCCATTCTTCTGCTGGCTGCCCAGGTGGGGCAGGGCACATGCCCCACAGCTGGGTGAGGGTGGCCAGCCAGACCACGGGGCTCTCCACACCGCACGTTTGGCTTTGGCGCTGGATGGACAATGGGCAACAGGAGGGCATGGGGCGGCGGCGGCGGGGAGCCCGGCCCAGCCCAGACACTCAACCTGCTGCACCGGGGCGGCACCTCAGCCATCGGTCACTCTTCCCCAAGGAGCAGGGTCCAGTCTGCGCCAATGCAGCAAGGCCCCTCCCCCTGCGGGCAGCTGGCCAGATGTCAGGGCGTGGCCAGGCTGCGGCAGTACTGACCTGCTGCAAAGCCTGCCCTGCCCTGCCCGGCCCCCCGAGGCTGAGACAGGCCCCAGAACAGGCCCAGTGCAGGGGCAGACAGTGGGGAGGGCCTGCTTCCCACCCAAAGGTCAGAGGCCGAGGGAGGGGCCCTGATGCTCCTGGGGGCCCACCCGCAGACAAGACCCACCTTGCCCTCCCCAGCCTAGCCCCTGATCAAGCCCGAGACCCAAGGTCCAGTCCCACCAAAGGCACCACCTAGCCACAGACCCAGCCACACCATGGACGCAGCCCAGACCAGCCTGGCAGCCTCTGGCCAAGAGGAGCAGCCCTACCTCATGGTACAGCCAGCTACTGCCCCCCAAACAGGTCGGAGGCCAGGTCAGGCCAGGCAGCAGGCCCTGGGGGTCCAGTTGCACCTGCTGACTTCCCCAGATGGCCCCAGCTAGGGCCAAGACAAATCTCAAGTCCCAGAGCACTCCGGAGTCAGTGATAGAGGGACAGGCGCAAGCGACATAGCGAGCAGCGGTGACAGGGACAGGTAGCAGGAGGGGTGCAGCCCCTAAGCAGCCCG